TTTTTTCTTTTTTCTTTTTGTTTAATTTTCTTTATAATTTTTAATTATTTTTAAATTTGATATTTTAATATAGTTTCTAAATATATAAATTTTATGTAACAATACTAAATATAATATTATAAAAAATAATTAAATTAAAAATAATTTTGGCTAAACTCCATTAATTGAAATAGACACATAAAATGAGACGGATTGAGTAGATAAATTTATTATAGATAGGGTAGAGGGTTTTGCAAGTTGCAAGACACGTAGTGGAAAATGACAACTCACTAACATAATGATAAAGAAGTGATGCTTTACCCAAAAAAAAAATGATAAAGAAGTGATGAACGGTTCATAATTCAAGAAAAGGAACACTTGGAAATTGGAATCGCAAAAAATGGAGTTTTATGTCACGTTCTTTTGAGTGTTGTGTACTTTCGACTTCCTAATCCTGCCCAAATCAGTGTTTTGATTTTAACGTAGGGTACAATGGAACATCATACATAGTGGTCCCTTTGGCCCGTTTTATGTGTTCATTTTCATTTTTAATTTAAAATAATAATTTTGATTAATCTAAATTTCTGATAAAACAAGGATCACACTTGTGTGAGATCGTCTCACGTATTCTTATTCGTGAGAAAGATTCGGTCAATATGCAAATGTAATACTTATACTGGCAAATGTAATACTGGTTAAGAATAAAATGTTTGTTACTTATAAAGAAAAACGTAATACTTTTAAGGACAAGTAGAAAGTCGGGTACGAAAATTGATAAAGATCAATAGTCAATGGACCATTTATGATCCAATTGAAAATTGAAAGTAAAAATTGATAAATGATAATAGTGAAGGACTTCCTGAAATTAACTCTTACGGAGTATAAGAAAGTGAGGTTTCATGACATACAAACGTGTACATCGGATTTATTCTTCCAAAAGGCTGAACCCCAACCTTAAGGGCCCCCCACACCCCGACCCGACAGAGCATTTGGGAGGATGTAAATCATGGTAACTCAATTGAACATGAACCACAGAGGATTTATTAATCAATTTTACAGGCTTATCCAATTTAAGATTCTAATTTATAATATGAAAGAAATTAAAATATAATTTGGGATATAATGGGAAAATAAAGTAATCGTGAATGCCTATTAATATTATTGCTAACTATATTAAGGGTATGTTTGGAAATCAATAAAATATTTTGTGAAAAATAAATTTTAGAAAATGATTCATTTTTAAAAAAAAATATTTTAATTTTTTGATACTTAGTTGAATGCCGTAATAATAATATTATTTTTTTTGTTTAGCTAAAAATTAATAAACTGTATTTTTCATGTTTGGTTCATTTTCTTGAATATACAACACAAATAACACACAAAATAAACAATTGATACAACTTAGTTTGTACTATCAATACAATTTTAATTCATATAAAGGACTAATATTATATTATTGGGTTTTGTTAAATTTTAGATTTTTTACAAAAATACCAAGAGGCTACCAAAAAAAAAAAAAAAAAAAAAAAAAGAAGTAATTATTGCATGCATTACTAGAGTCAATGTCACTTCTCACTCACTGTGTAGCGTTGACAATGTAATTTTAGTGTCAATATAATAGCTTTTAAGTATAAAATTGTTAATGAATAGATAAATAATTGTCACTTATTAAAAGTGATGATTCCTTATAGAGACTAAGCATATTGTTAATTAAAAGTGAAAGGCTAAGCATATTGTTAATTTATAGCTTGATGATCAAATGTGTAAATTTATATTGAAATTATAATAAAGTGGTGTATTCTATAAATTAAATACTACTTTTATGTTGAAATTATTCTAATTAATTATGTTGACTTTAACTTTATACATATGTAGTGGTTTATGGCAGTTGGTGGGATTCCAACACTTGATTGTGTTTCAGTTGTTGAAAACTCATTGGCTCTTTGGTTTATGGAGAACTAAAATAATGAAAAAGAATTATAAGTTTTTGCAATGATCTGTGTTACATTTTTCCAGTTTTTTTGCCACTAAAGCAGGCCGGAGTGCATAAATTTCAAATAAATAGATCCTCTATAATTTACCTAATAATTTCCTGACGTGATAATAAACCTTTTTATTTTTATTATTGGGTCTTCATAAATTGGTTGACACCACCACAAGCTAAGTTCAATCTTGATGAGTTGTTAATGAAATAGGGTTAAAAAAAAATTGAGAAAATGGTGAAATAAACCCATAAACTATACACAAAAAATCAATTATACACCTAAACTTTAACAAAATGTAATTAAACCCCCAAACGTATCAAATTGAGTCAATGAAGTCCATGAACCGATCTCGCCGAAATTAAAGTGACTTATAATAATAGCTAACAACTATCCGCTAATGTTATCAACTAGTTATACAATCTAATTAACCCAATTAGCTAACCGTCATTTACCAAACATGACCATAGTCTAAAATCAATCCATGCATAAAATATTAAATATTACGTGGTACTTAGTGCAACTTGATCAAACATACCATCTAAGTCAATTTGTTGCAATGAAGAAAACTAAACTCCGACGTTTTCAAACTCAAAGTTACTATAAGCCATACAAAGTGCAACGTAACTTTGATTGGTTATATATGGTGGCGGTTCACAATAAATATCTTCATTGATGTTATGTGTTGACGTGTATCTGTGTCATATATCACGTGTTACGACAATGCCAGGTATTAATAATTGCTTGATGATTGAAATGGGTCAATGCGTACATGTCAGATCCAACAATGTTCGTACATCAAACAAAGAAAACCACGAAAAATTGCCAATAGAGTTAGGCTAGCTAAATTACACTCGCACGAGCTTAGCTCAATAGTTCAGTAAACAGTAACTGAAAAAATGGATCAAGATTTGAACTTCGACAGTGGCAGTGGATGATTATGTTCAAAGTGAACAAATTTCTTGTGTGCACCACCATTTGGACTTGTCTGCTGAGCCAATAATGATGAAATCAACAATGTTAGAATTAAATAGTAACGAAGTTATAATAAATTAATAACACAGATTTAATAGAATCTAACAAGAAAATTTTGACCAGTAAACTTGTAGTGTACACTATTTAAAGTAAAATGTATACATTTATTATTATCATAGAAAAATCAAAACTATAACATGGTTTGACACATAGTGTTTTTAGATACATTAATTCTTTTGAAGTCAATAAAATTTTTCAATACTTGTTACTCTAATTATATGACTAATATTCTTAAAATTCAAATTTAAAACCTTATTTAAAATAATTCAAAAAATCGACCATTTCATGCTCGAGAAAGTCATTCAGCATTTCTAGTCATTCAATCACTTCCAAACTATGAGCCATTTAATCATTCATATATAGGATGAACCATCTCCAACTTTTCAATAATCCTTATGTTATAGCTATATATAGTACAGTGTAAACATATAATGTGACAAACAAAGGACATAATGAATGATGATGGTACGAGATGCACGTTAAAAATAGGAGCTAGTGTTGCCGACAATTGTAATATTTTGATAATAATTTTCTTTTATATTTATAAATTGCATGGCAATTTCTAAATGAACCAAATTGTTGTCATTTCTCAAAGATATTTAGATCTGGTTATTCCGCATCCCTAGCTCGAACTTACAACCTTCCAAATGGAAGTCCAACCCGGGTAACATTAGACCACATAGTCTTGGTGCTATTTTACTAGATTTGATTCTTAATATAATACTAGATTTGTCAATACCACATCTATTGAGGCTTTAACCCACAACCTCTCATTTAGAATGGAGAGTAACTTGGCAAATTATGCCGTGCATCCGTATGCACCATGCATGGTGCATACAGTTGCAAAAACGACATCGTTTTATTAAAAACGCGCGTCTCCCCTTAAAAAAAAAATTAAGGTTCGATTCCAACAACAACATATGAACTAAAATTTCAGAATCGATGAACTATAATTCCAGAATCTATGAACTAAAATTCCAGAATCTAATCTATGAACTAAAAATTCCAGAATGAATGAACTAAAATTCCCGAATTGATGAACTACAATTCCAGAATCGATGAACTATAATTCCAGAATCAATGAACTAAAATTCCATAATCTATGAACTAAAATTCCAGAATGAATGAACAACATAATATTGTTGCTGGGAATCGAACCTGAATTTTTTTTTTAAGGGGAGACGTGCGTTTTTAATAAAACGACGTCGTTTTTGCATCCGTATGCACCATGCATGATGCATACGGATGCACAGCATAACTACTCGAGTAACTTGGTGTCACTAGACCACTTGGTCCACATATATTTATTTACAACAGATTGAATATTTTTGTTGATACTTGATAGTAATCCGAGAGATGGCTTGCTTGTCTTTAAACTCCCATTACGATTTGTTAAGTTCTTGGATATTGATTAATCCATTTTCTTTATTGATTTTATAATGGTACTAGCAAGTTGAGCCTGTTTTGAAGCGTTAGTTTTGTCTAGCGGCCTTTTATCTCACGGCCCAACTTCAAATGGGAGACGGAAGGAAAGGGCAAAAATTATGGATATTTATGCCGTGGAACCATGTGTACCTTGCAAGTTGGACACGATTCTATGTTCATAAATTATAATTACTGAATTTTATGTTTATAATTTTTAAACTTCATATTCACAATTATTGAACTCTATATTCACAACTAGGCACATTGGTGTGTGTAGGTAGAATTTAATTTTAATTTTTTTTTTGGGTGAATCCCACCAAAAAATCACTTCTTACAGGAAATACACAAATTTCAATTACAGCTTTTAAGTAATATTTTTTTTATATATTAATTTTATTTATTTATAAAACATAAATTTAAGTTAAAATTAAACAAAATCCAGAAGAAAATGTGTTGAGTATGCTATCTAGTTCATATATAATATATATATATAAGTATTGGTACTCTTGAATGGACAATTAAAAACGTAACAATTTAAACTTTTTTATTCAGAAGATACATATCCATTATCAAGCGACGAAATGGAAAAATCCTTTAATTTGCGTTTGCTTCATCGTTCTCCTGGAACCTATGTATTCTGAAGTGAGACAGGTCGTGTGGGGCCATTGAAGACCCGCTCCGGACGAGATCCGCCAATATCTGACCCACTAAGGGCCCCATTTTGAACCCGTGGCCAGAGAATCCGCCGGCGACCACCACATCTTTGCCAAACTCCCCACCCAAGAAATCGATCACGTAGTCCTCGTCCGGCGTCATGGAGTACATGCATGACTGCGATATCACCGGCGCCGACGAGTCCACCAGGCCCCCGAATCGTTCCTCTATCCACTGTTTCATCGAACACAAAGAACTTGCCAACGGCGCAAAGGTGCGCCCTTCCGCCTCGCATTCCCGCCCTCCTGACCAATTGATCTTGATCAGTCCCGGGAACTCAAGCGCCGGCGTTCCGTACACGTGCAGCTCGCCGTGGCTGGAGAACGTCGGGAAGCCGTTTCCGATGGTGAAATCTCCTTCGTGCCCCTCTTTGATCCTCCAATAGCAAGCGTTCGTCTCCAGCGGTTGAACCGGAAGCACCACCCGGGAACCGGTGATCGCTGCCACCAGCTTTCGTATCCACGGGCCGGCCGTGATAACGCACTTTTTGCCCGAGAATCTCTCCCCGCTTTTCGCGGTAACGGAAATGCCACCGGTCAGGTTTTTCTCTCTCTCCACGCCGTTGACTTCCACGTTGTCTCTCAGAGCCGCGCCGTGTTTGACAGCCAGCGCCTGGAACATGGAAACGGCTTTGGTCGGCTTAATGACGCCGCCGAGCTCCGTCACCACGCCGACCCAATCCTCCGGTAACTGAAAACGGCCCCCGAATTCCTCCTGGACCTGTTTCGCGTCCAAAACTCGAACCGGAATGGAGGTTTTCCGGCAGGTGGGAACGACGGCTTGCAGCACCTTGTTGTCCGCCGGGCCCATGTCTAACTGCTGGGTCTTGAAGAAGACCTTGTAGCCAATCTCAGCTTCGGCTTCGCGCCACAGGAGCTCGGCGGCTACGACCATCTTGGCATAATATTCCTCCGTGTAGGCTGCGCGGATAGTTCTGGACTCGCCATGGGAGGAGCCGCGGTGGTGCAAGAAATCGAACTGCTCCAGGAGGAGGGTCCTTAGGCCGCGTTTGGCTGACTGATAAGCCGCGCAGCTGCCCATTATTCCTCCTCCTATAACTATCACATCATATTCCATCTTTTCCATCTCAAAAAGTGGTATCAGAGATCACGGTTCGAGTTCAGAAGAAGGAATAATTATTAGGCCTAAGTCGATAAAGGGCTAAGTTCAACATCAGATGACTAGAAGATTGTTGGGCCGAGCTTTTGGGCGTGGCAGTATGTGTTTGATCTTACACTGACCAATAAGAAATGGATGGATATGAATCTAAATTGTATAGAATCTCAGTGGATGATATTGAATCAGAGAGTAATAGTATATTGCAGAGGGAACTGGGTTTGAGAAGATCAGAAAGTAACACAGCCTCTCCTAAATAGCAGAACGATGAGGGTAGTTGGCCTGCCATCTTTTAATTTGGGGCATTATTATATTTAAGAAATATAATAATGTTACTATGAAGACTCAAAATGTTGGAAGGTGAAAGTTTATCAAAGTTTAATAAGTTTAAACTTTAGAGCTTCTCATCCTTTTGTTCAGAAAACTTTTGGATCACGTACTAACCTACAAACTTTCAAATGCTTATAAACTAGTTCTGGTACTTTGAATATTTGGTCATTTGTAGTATTCGAACTTAAACTTTGCATCATGTGGCTGCTAGCAAAACAAAGCTTATGAACTTAAAGGAACATTTAATAGTTGATGGGAAGGGATAAGGTCGTTAGCAGTGGACTCATAGTCCTTGTCCTCGACCTAGTGATCGGTCTTGGGGCGGTCAACTCGTATTTTGGGACGCAATTTCTTAATTACAGAGTAACAATTTGGGGTAATTTGTTATCATTTGTCAGGATCACATACACACTTGGCACTACGTGAAAAGTTATAGATAGTACGAAGATTTTATTTCTTTATAATTTTATAGTTGTCAGCGCCATGTTTTGATGGCAAAATGCTGGACTCGCTGTTCGAGCCGCCGCCCAACATATTTTAGAACGATTTTTACCTTGTTTAGACTCTCATCAACTTATAATCAATCAGCAGAATTTAGGGATTTAGTTTTCTAATTTGGTTGAAAACATTTCATATTTTCATATATGTTCCTAACTGTATATAACCCCTAAAAATCACTTGTAAAGGGTTAGCAATTTAACACTACCAAAGCAAACACCAACTTTCTTCTTCTTCTTCTTCAACAAAAAACATTTAAAAAAAAAAAAAAAAAGCATACACCAACTTTCTACAAGTTCTTTATAGTTTCGCACTTGTTACATGCAGTTTATGTTGGTCGACAGTTGATCGCCATAGTCATAAAATCAACATTTATTCAAATAATGTGATATATAAATAATAAGTGTGAAATTCACGTATTCAGCCATGGTTATGCATGAATTTTTGTGTATGATTTGTACAAAATGCAAGTATTCAAGTATTCAACCATCTAATAGTGGGTCAAAACAGCTATGCATTGGGGGGTTGGCTTAGGGATGTGCTTCTTGCGCATGTAAAAGTGTACAGTTTAGTGTTAAGTTTTGAAATTAGATTCACTCGATTACTTATTCATCGGTCGGGAAGCAAATTCATAGGATTCAAGATATAGTTCGGTGAAGACAGAAAACTTGGGTTATTAAAAATAAAAAAGTACGAAATAAATGTATATAATACGGAGTATCAATTACATTGAGAAACCTTTTTTGAATACATTATTATTAATATAATGGAATAAGTAGACGTTTGCATTGTAACGCCATTATATTGTAGAATATTTTTTTTTTTTTTTTTTTTAAAAAGGGTTAAATAAGTTTACTTAACTAGACGAAATCAATTAGGAGTACTCTTGGATATGAGATGTTCTATGAATCTGGATATGAATTAAATTAAAACTTAATAATAGAATATAAAAATGACTCAAGAAACATTATATATATATATATATATATATATATATATATATATATATATATATATATATATATATATATATATATATATATATATATATATATATATATATATATATATATATATATATATATATATATATACGTAGACTAGAGCAATGAATGATCAATAATAAGTCATAATTAGGAGATTGATTTGATTCTTATGTTGTTGCATCGGAGGATGAGAACAACTTAAACTTTAACACAATAGAATATTATAACAAGTTGAGTAAAAAAATTCCATATGGATAAAATGATAGATAATTAATAACAAAAAGACACTCAAGGTAGAACCTACACTAGTTAATCTTATAACGTAATTGTCAGGCCTGGAGGGCTGGAACCTGGCGGTGAGTTTAAGAGCAAATAATAGTATTATTCTTTTAACTAGCTTGATTGACATTAGTGATTGTGCATTCTTATCCCTTAAAAGATGAAATAATAGTATTATTTTTTAACTAGCTTGATTGACATGAGTGGTCCTGTTCATGTTCGTTTGTTAAACGTTCGTTAGTATTTGTCAATGTTTGTTAACAAACACGTTCACAAACATGTTCATTAATATTTGCGAACATGTTCGTTCACATTCATAAATACGTTCGTGAAAAGCTTAATAATCAAACATATGAACATGTTCATGATCACAATTCGTTCGTGAACATCAGAACATCGATGTTCACGAAAAATAATCAAACAAGTAACACAACTACAAAGAGAATACAAACAAATATTAAGTGAACACAAACGAGCTTGTTCGCGAACATTATCAAACTAACACTAAACGAGCTTGTTTGCGAACATTATTAAACGAACACAAACGAGCTTGTTCATGATCTCTTAGCAAACGAGCTTACAAGTGTTCAGACTTTGTTCGTTTATAAATCGAGCTCTAAATTTGCTTTGTTAATGTTCGTTTACCTTAATAAATGAATGTTTACCGAACACGAATACGAGTAGTTTACCGAAAGCTCTGTTCACTAACACCCTAAGTGCATCCTACAGTTAGGACCTGCTTAGGATACCAGGATACCTCATCGCCTGACAAAAAAAAAAAAAAAAAAAAAACAATATTATTATTTTAAAATAGTTTTGTCTTGCGCCTTACTAGCTAGCTAAATTGTGCTTAGAAAGGCTGTCAAATTTTACAACACATTTGATTAGCAAAAAAAAAAAAAAAAATTATAAGGAATGAAATTTAAATGTCATGGAAAGAAATAAAGATGGATTTCATATTTCATTATTTGGTTGGTGGGACAGAAAGTATTAATAATCATTACTATAAAGATTTAAGTGCCCCTATATAATAAAAATATGTGACCGTAATATTGTTCAATGTGATGTATTCTTCTCATACGGTGTGAAATTTATGGTGCGTTTGGAAACCTGAAAATAACTTTCGGAAAATGTTTTCTGAGTTTTCAGTGTTTGGCAAGAGTGGAGAAAATGAGGTCAATGAAAAATGATGCATTAGTCAAAGGAAAATAGGTATGTTTTGAGGGAAATGACTTCTCCTGTTTTTGTTGGGAAGTCATTTTTTAAGGGATGCACATGCACAATTTTTCGGGCCTAATTTTTTGCGAGCTTTTGCGAGTTAGCCCACTAAACCCGCAAACTAGGGTTCATGCAACCAAAGTGCGCCCCATGCGGGTTGACGGGTCCCACGGGCCGGTCCGCGGTTTTTTTTTTTTTTTTTTTTTTTTTTTTTTTTTAATTCAAAGTTTTTTTTTTTTAAAGAAAAAGTAAAGTCTACAAGTAATATTAATTTTTTCATATTTAAAAATTTTAAAAAAGTTACATTTTAGAAATGTTTATGTGTGTGTGTGTGTGTGTGTGTGTGTGTGTGTGTGTGTGTGTGTGTGTGTGTGTGTGTGTGTGTGTGTGTGTGTGTGTGTGTGTGTGTGTGTGTGTGTCAAAAGAGTGCTATTTACAAAAGTATTTTATCAAAAATATAAAACAATTAAAATTTTGAAGTATTCAATACTTTACATTTTCTTACTATTTTCTGGAAAATAACTCATTTTCAAAAAATAAAATTTTCCAGAAGTCATTTTCATGTTTTTCAAACCGGAGGCTGGACTCTCAAAATTCTACTTCCTCATTTATACTCCTTGAGGTGGCAACCCAGGATTGATAATTTTCATCATGTGAGTCCACAGAAAAGTGTCTACATCAAGAGCACGTGAGAAGGAGTACAAATTAGGAGTTTAAAATGAGAGTAGATTAAGTATTTTCCATTTAAAATACCTAAGGGGATCAATCTTTGATATTCATTTTCCTCAAATATGAAAAATTAAAATTTCAATGAATTACACATTCGTATAGTAGTTGTCCGCTTTTTCGTAAATCAAAATTCCAATGAATTCAATTCCCCATCAACTAAATATGAGTATTTTTTTTTTTTCACTTTTTGAACTCACAATTATTGAATCATTTTCACATTTTATCATTAATTATTATTTTTCAACATTTAGTCCTGTGACTTTTAAAAACTTGCCACGTTTGATCTTCTATCCAGCCTAATTTTCGATCACTGATGACCAAAATTTTTAGTTTAAAATATCATAAAAATGATAACTTTTTCCAATAGTTAAGTTTAACAACTACACCACACAACGTTTAGGCAAAACATTTGACCCAGAATACTTAACTTGAAATGATTAAGTTAACCAAACCAATTAAGTTAACTTAATTTAGCCATTTTATAATAAACGACTCATCAAATTAATTTAGTCAATTGTCCTAATTAACATTATTGGTCCACGTACATAATCACCAAATTCAATAACCTCAAATGATCCAATTAATAAATATGGACGGTGGTCTATTTTGCCAAGTTACATATTACATTTCTAGTAATTTGATATGCAGATATAGAATTACATATGATATATAAAGAAAAAAAATTTTGAAAACATATGATATAAGATTTATTAAAACAAATTCCACAAATAGATTTGGACCTAATCTACCATAGTGTTTGTAAAGGTTTTAAACAATTTCAACACTTCCCAAGCTTGGGTCCAAAGTGGGCTTTTAAAAGAAAACCAATCTTACAAAATTTTGGGCCATTGCCTGTTCATCAAAGACAAAAAAAAAAAAAAAAAAAAAAAAAAAAAAAAAAAAAATGTCATTGCCCTACAAGCGATCATTCTTTCAAAAGATTGAATCCCAACCTTAAGGGCATCCACACCCCGACCCGACAGAACATTTAGGAGGATGTAAATCATGGATAGTAGTCTATTTTGCCAAGTTTATTTTAGTGTATAACAGTTTTATTTTCAGTATACTACCTAAAGTTGAGCACAAAATTTTTAGTATTTTTTTCATGGTTGCAGTAGGCGCTAGGCGTTAGTCGGGCGCCTGGACAGCGCCTAGCGCCTAGGCGGGCGCCAAAAAAACAATGATAGACTTGCAGTTTGACAATTTTAATTAGGTTGTTTTCAACATTTAATCAAATAACACATCCAAATAAATGAATTAATGATAATTCATAAGTCATAACATCAAAACAATGATTTAAAAAAAAACATTAAAACAATA